CAGCTAGAGTAGTATCGTCATAGCTCACAGAAACCTCAAACTCCTGGGATCAAGTGATCCTCCTGAGTAGCTGGGACCACAGGCGTGCACCACCACACCTGCCAAATTTTTCTATTTTTTATAGAGACAGGGTCTTACTCTTGTTCAGGCTGGTCTCAAACTCCTGAGCACAATGGATCCTCCCACCTCAGCCTCCCAGAGTGCTAGCATTACAGGTGTGAGCCACTGTGCCCAGCCAAGTTATTCTCTTACATAGTGCAACCCCTTTGGGGCTAGTACAGTAGGGATACCTGAGCCAGACTGACTTTCTTGGGATTTGAAGAAGGCAAAAATAGAGCTGTGAATTTTTACTTTCATCCCTCAACTTAAAAACCTCTTTATGGGTTTGTACAAGTCCATTCTCCACAATTTTTTCTTCAATTATTACTTCTGATGACCCTCATGGCCCAGCTCAGTAAAAAGTTAGTTTGTAAATAAATTGTTAAGTGCAAAGCCAAGTTTTTAATTTGATCCATATCAGTTCAGCAATGCCCAGCCAATTATTGTCCCCTTAGAATTATGCGTAAATATGCAAATTTATTCTTAGCCCTGATTGTATGGAATATAGGTCTATCAAACTTAACATATTTTATATCAACTTTATTTAAGAATGTTTTTTCCTTTTAAAATAAAATCAAAAATAGAGATTAGGGCTTCAGAAGTGATTAAAAACCACAATATATTTCAAGTATACTACTTCATGAGTAATAGAACAACTTTTTTTTTCCTTTTCTTTTTTAGTGAAAACATATTGCTTTCTTTCCTTGTGGCCTGGATTGCAGAAATGTCAGCAGTGGGTTGAGTAGCTTTTGAGAGTAGAAGGAGCTGGGAAGTTTCTCCTGAGCTGCCTGGAGGAAGCTACAAAGAAGGGTGACATCCCTGCATCTAAAAGTACCACAGTGGTTTTTGTTTCGCTTTTTTTCCCATGGAAAATCATATATAAGTTCTTACTTGGAGAAATATTATTGAATATATTGCTAACTTTAATGCCATGAGACTTAAGAATGTGTGTTGCTCCAATATCTCCATCTGCTGGATAGTGTCAGCCTGGAATTCTCCAGCCTTCAGCCATGCGAGGTGCCTTGCAGGGCTTTAGAGCATGGTAGAAGGTGGCGAGGGTCAGGGCTTTGGGAGCAAGTGGGAAAAGGAAAGGACTCTCTTCAATTTAATTTTTAGAGTGTCATGTGAAAGTTTTTTTTTTTTTTTTTTTAAGTTCAAATAGGAAATTTTCTCCAGGCACATTAAAAAAAAAAAAAAATACAGTCATAGCTTTATGAACAATAGCATTGGTCCCCCAGCCCTTTTTGTTACCAAGGACCTGTTTCATGGAAGACAATTTTTCCAGGACCAGAAGAAGGGAGCGGAGGGGGAGTTGGTATCAGGATGATTCAGGTGCATTACATTTACTGTGCAGTCAAACCTCCGTGCTAATGATAATCTGTATTTGCAGCCGCTCCCTAGTGCTAGCATCATCGCCTCAGCTCCACCTCAGATCAACGGGCGTTAGATTCTCATAAGGAGCGTGCAACCTAGATCTCTTGCATGTGTTGTTTACAGTAGGGTTTGAGCTCCTGTGACAATCTAATGCCGCTGCTGATCTGACAGGAGGGGAGCTTACGTGGTGCTGTAAGAGCAATGGGGAGTGGCTGTTAATACAGATGAAGCTTCACGGGCTCACCTGCTGCTCACTTCCTGCCGTGTGGCCCAGTTCCTAACAGGCCACGGACCAGTACCAGTCTGCAGCCCGGGGTATTTGGGGACTGCAGAACTATAGCATGTATATACAAACCATGTATATACATGGGTATTAAAAATGTAGTTTTTTTCGTTATGGGGATATACAGCTATCGTAAGTGTGATTAGGCTCAAACAACCCACTGATCCAACTGGTCTCTTCCCATGATATGAATTCAAATTTTTCTTTTTCAAATAAAAATCCTATATACTCATACACAGTACTGTACAAAAATCCAGTGTAGATTCCAAATACTAACCAAATGCTTACACGGTTTAGATAATCTGCAACAAAATCAAAACCACCATATTATGATACTCCATTATACTGATAGTGGACGGTCAAATCTATTTGACAGATGAAATATTTTGATAATTCGAGCAGCCTGATAGAATAATTCATTGGTGTGGAAATAATTATTAATTTCTGGAACATCCTAGAGTGTGAAAAAACATAGGATTCTGAATCAATACTTTGAAACTGAATTAATTTAAGTGGTAGGAACAAGTGCATAAAGTTTATAGCAATATACATAAGGGCTGTCTCCTCAAGAGAGGCAAAGCTTGTGCTACACAGTCTACATAATTCCTCTCATCTGTGTATTCTGTAGTGTTGTCTGCTGGTCATCTCCTACCTCCTTGATTGGGCATTCCTGAGAAAGACGCTCTTGGAGCTCCTTCTGCAGTTCCTTCCTGGTACCCAGGGACTGCTGGACTCGGAGGAAGTCGGAAAGCTCCTTCAGACCTGCGTCAGTGAAGTATTTAGCAAAATGATCCACACTCTGTCTGTTAACTGGAAAGAGTTCCTGAAGGAAAAAGGAAAAAAGACTGTTATACAACTACAGCAAGCTATTCAAATTTCAGTAAGCATAAAGGGCAAAATCTTCATTTCACTTAGAATATTTCTTTTGGAAGAAAAGAAGAAGGACTGATTTTCAAAACAATAAATCTCTGGCATATTTATTGAGCCAAACACCTTCTAAAATCAGGCAGTTTTGCAAAGAAAGAAAAAATACTAAGCAACTTAGATAAACTAGCTCCACTTTGAACCATTATTTCATTTTCCATTTACTTTAATCAAGTATAGCATGTGTCAATACAGAATTAAATTTGCTAAATTAAATGCAAATAACTTTGAATAGTGTTTGGATTGTTTTAAACTGAGAAGAAAAAAATTGAAACGATTAGATAATCAAATCATACTGTTTATCTATTCATGGATTAATGGGTTATCTTGGGAGGGCAATTGGTGGCTTTATAAGAAAAGGAG